CATATATATATATATAAAGTACTAATAATCTAAAAAAATATTCCAAAGAATATTCTTAGATTCTTCCAAAAATATTCCAAAGAATATTTCTAAATTATTCCAATGAATATTTATATGATATTACAAAGATATTTTTAAAAATTATAATTTAAATTACATTTTTTTATTATTATTAAAGTGTAAAGAAAAATGATTTGAAATTTAATCCTTTTAGTCGAATGAAATGAAGATCCGTATAAAATTTGCAGTAATGTTCGTTGAGTGTTGAATCTTAAATTCATTTTTTTTTCAACTGTGACGTCAAATAAGGAAACAGTAGGTGTGTGAAGGTGAAAATTTTTCATTCCAGAGGCCAAAAGTTTTCGAGTCCTGAAAGTTTAATTTCACAGGACTCGGGTAAGATTCGAAATCGACGCTGGTTGAATAGAAAATCTCTTGGATTCATCTTACTTTCTCGACATCCCTCTCTCACACACAGCCATATATATATACACCTTCTCCTCTCCTCTCTCCCTTAATACATCTCTCAAGCCCAATTTCCTCTTCTTCTTCTTCTTATTCTTTCCTTTTTTCTTTCTCTCTCTCTCTCTATCTTTTTCTCATTCCATCTGTTTTCCACTCTTTTTCCGTCAAGAAAACCATTCGTTTTCTAAGAGTTGGCGATAGCGATTATACTTCCTTAACCAAGCGAACTTTGCGCTTCCTAACAGGAAAGAGAGAAACTCAATGAACCGTTCCAATTGTAGCTTCAACTTGAAGACAACCAAATTAGTTTCCGACCTCATTTCGACGTTTAATCATTTTTTAAATCAGGAACTAATTAATTTTGTTTTACGCTTTTTTGCATTTCAATTGGGAACTTATTACATCGCAAAAAAAAGGCTTTATTGTCATTACAGCTTTCATTTCAGACTACCTCTCTCTCTCTCTCTCTCTTTCTTTCTCTCATTACAATGATGAAAAAAGTGAAAGTAATTTTCTTTGCAAGAAAAGAAGAGAGAGAGAGAGGAAAAAAATATTTCTTGGAAGAAAAAATAATATTTTCTTTTTGAAAATAATATATATATAATTTTATTGACATTCCAAGCATATTGCAATTCCAAAGAATATTACTACAATATTCCAAGAATGTTACTTTAATATTCCAAAGAATATTATTACTAAAATTATTATGATTCTAAAATATTGCAGGAGTATAATAATCATATTCCTAAAAAAATTCCTGGAATATTACCATAATATTTTTTGGAATATTTTTCAGTAATATTTCTAATACACCTCTAATATATTCATAATATTCCTATAATAATAATTTTCGAAATTCCTAAAGGAATATAATATTAATACAAATAAAATAAATAGTAGAATTCAACGCTTCAATTTTAATATTTCTTTTTCTATATGAGGCATTTCATTTGAAAACGATCAGTCATGTCATAGATTTTTTTAATATTTCGTTTTTTTGTATTGTTTGGGGACTTAAATAAGTGTGCAAAATTTTAATTAAAAATCTTAAGTTTTTTTCAAGTTATTTACATTAACAAATTTAAGACACTTTTTTTTCTTTTCACTATAACTTTTTCATTTTTCTTTGTACAGAAAAATGTTTTGAATGTTTTTTCTTTAAAAATTATTGAATTTTAAGAAAATGATTTTTATTTTTAATATTTTATAATTTTTATATTATTTATTTAAAAAAAAATTTTTTTTATTAATGTTTAAACCTGTTATCGGGCTAATTTCGATCTAAAAAAAATCATGATTATTCTTCAATATTATACAAATCACATATTAAAATTTGGTGAATGCATTATTTTTTGTTCTCGAGAAAAAAATATTTGAAATTTACCGTGCATGGCTCTAGCGGTCGCATCGGTCAGCGCTTGGGTTAGATCCCATGCTGCGCGCCGATAGAGCCATGCACGGTAAATTTCTTTTCACTATAACTTTTTCATTTTTCTTTGTACAGAAAAGTGTTTTAAATGTTTTTTCTTCAAAAATTATTGAATTTTAAGAAAATGATTTTTATTTTTAATATTTTATAATTTTTATATTATTTATTTAAAAAAAAATTTTTTTTATTAATGTTTAAACCTGTTATCGGGCTAATTTTGATCTAAAAAAAATCATGAATATTCTTTAATATTATACAAATTACATATTAAAATTTGGTGAATGCATTATGTTTTGTTCTCGAGAAAAAATTTTTTGAAATTTACTGTGCATGGCTCTATCGGCGCGCAGCATGGGATCTAACCCAAGCGCTGACCGATGCGACCGCTAGAGCCATGCACGGTAAATTTCAAAAATTTTTTTCTCGAGAACAAAAAATAATGCATTCACCAAATTTTAATATGTGATTTGTATAATATTGAAGAATATTCATGATTTTTTTTAGATCGAAATTAGCCCGATAACAGGTTTAAACATTAATAAAAAAATTTTTTTTTTAAATAAATAATATAAAAATTATAAAATATTAAAAATAAAAATCATTTTCTTAAAATTCAATAATTTTTAAAGAAAAAACATTCAAAACATTTTTCTGTACAAAGAAAAATGAAAAAGTTATAGTGAAAAGAAAAAAAAGTGTCTTAAATTTGTTAATGTAAATAACTTGAAAAAAACTTAAGATTTTTAATTAAAATTTTGCACACTTATTTAAGTCCCCAAACAATACAAAAAAACGAAATATTAAAAAAATCTGTGACATGACTGATCGTTTTCAAATGAAATGCCTCATATAGGAACAATTAGTAAATATATATATATAAATATATATATATCTTCTTTCTGAATTTAATTAAATTCTTTCTTGTCTTTCCTAAATATTTTTCAGTGCAGTGTTTTTGTACAAAACAAAAAAAAAATGAAGAAAATAATTTAAAAAATCACGACAAAATCTCGTTAGCAGAAAGCACGCGTAATTATTATTCATTAAACTCCCTGTTTCGCTGCATTTTTTAGCAAAAATAAACTGTCATGAGCTTTCTTGAGTAGCGTCGGTAATGGGACGTTTCTGAAGAGGATGCCGTATACACTGTGAAGCTCCTCTGTATTTTAATTAGGAAGGGCATTTTTTTTCTTTTTTTTTTTTTTTTGCTTTCATTCTTTCTATCTTCATAGTGACAAACACTTGTCAAATTGTGGCGTTATTGTTTACCCCCCTCTCCCTCCAATTTCCTGAAAGAATATGAGACATGGTTTCATATTATTAGATCCTGTTTCATTGACTTGAGGCAAGAAGATAAAATTTTTTTTTCTTTAAAATTAAACAAATTACTCGATTGAGATATTCCATTCAAATTTCTGGAATATTCATTGGAATATTGGGAATGCACCAAAGGATGCACCATTCCATTCACATTCCTAAAATATTGCATTGGAATATTGGAAATGTTCCATTCACATTCCTGAAATATTCCGTTGGAATATTAGGAATTTATCAAAGGAATATTGATTATTCCATTAATATTTCACGAAAATTAAAATTTTTAAACGTTCCTTTGGAATATTTTTAATTCTTAAATATATAACTAAATTCCATTAATCCTGACATGATTTCCAACTCGTGTCACGTGCGCTTCCTCTCTCTCCCTCTCTCTTTCATTAGCTTGTCATCTTTCGTCGAAAGTTTCGAAGATTATTATTAACAGTTCTTTGAATTAAGTTTCCCTTGTGAGAGTTCTTGTCGGGCCTCGATTCTCCCTTAAGGGGGTTTTCTTCGTTAACAGTTTCTAATCGAAAACTTGTTTTAATCGACGAGATTCAACAGTTTATAAGTTTGTCGACTTTATGGTTTCACTACCCAATATTCTCTCTCTCTCTCACTCACTCACTCTTGCGATTTTGTTTAAATAATTCTTGTAAAAGACCAAAGTCTATGCTATTGGTGGGCCTTAGAATTTCAAACTGGGCTTCAATTTTCATACATAATAACGCGAACTTTCAAGTTCATCAAACTCTTGAGTGAAATATTAATTAACGGAATTCATTAAAGATATAGGTGTCTGTCGTAAATTTTCTAACATAATTATAAACTTACAACTAATTGAAATTTGTAATTATATTTTTTCATGCATAGTTATTTCTTATTGATTACTTAAATTTTCTTACCCAAAAAGAAAAGAAAAGAAAAAATAAAAATTTATCTAAAGATAGATTCCAAAAATATTCCGAAGTAATATTTTTTTTATATTTAAAAGAAATATTCCTTTGACATTCCAAAAGGAATATTATGAAATTAATTTTTATATTATAATTAATATTATTTTAATGTGCCGAAGAATATTATTTCAATACTATTCCAAAAATATTACTATACTATTCCAAAACTGTTACTATTCTATTCCAAAATTATTACTATACTTAGTAACACAGAAAATTAAAAGGCATTAAAATAAGCTGCAACGCTTATTATTTTAATCCAATTTTGCTTATTTTAATCCATTTTGGTATTAAAATAAGCAAACTTGGATTAAAATAATAAGCGTTGCAGCTTATTTTAATGCCTTTTAATTTTCTGTGAATATTTACTTAATTTAAAATTATTAATGATTATTGATAAGTCAATAAATTAAACAATAATTTCGCGAAATACTATTTTTGTCGACAAACATTATGACATTTCGTTTTAATTTGCCCTGTCACGTTGGTACTTGTAACTGACGCTATAACGAAAAAATAATTTAATAACTCGAGAAGAAATTACAATCCATTATAATCAGCATTAAAGTGAAAAGTTTCTTGTTTCGAAAGAACTTTGTAGATAGAGAAGGAGAGAGCATAATTTGTTTCCTGTCTTCTATAGAATTCTTAGGTCCATGCCGCGAGAGTACTTAACGATATAAAAGCAACAAAAAAATAAAAAAAGAAAGAAAAGAAAAGAAAAACGAGAGCTTATCTTAAAGGGTAGTTACACGCCTGAGGTACTTAAAAATAAAAAAAAATAAAAAAAAAGTTTAAAAAAAAACTCGTAATTATTAATGTTTTTTTTTCAGTACGACCACTGACCGTGACAATTCTCAGCAGTGAACACGCACCACTCAGCGCTGACCGGAAATACGATATCACATGTATGACTGTTGGTTCAAGACCTGCGGCAAAACTCACCTGGTTCTTGGATGGTAAAAGTCTCGACAATTATACAGAAAAGGTAAGAGAGAAGAGCACTTTTAAATATCACCAAAGATAGTACAGCTTATTCCAAAAATATTCCTTTGGAATGTTCTTGAAAGGTCCAGGAAATTATATTATATTGTATTATTATTATATTGTAATATAATAAACATAAATATTCCAGTATAATATTCCTAAATATTCCAACATAATATTCCTAAATATTCCAATATAATATTTCTAAATATTTCAGTATAAAATTCCTAAATATTCTAATATAATATTCTCGAATATTCCACCATAAAACTTCTAAATATTCCAATATAATATTCTCGAATATTCCACCATAAAACTTCTAAATATTACATTATAATATTTCTAATTATTTCATTGTAATATTTCATCATGAAATATTGGAATATTTTGTTCTATAGTAGAATTATCGAAGAACATTCCAGCGAAATATTCAAATCTTCCATTAGAATATTCCTCAAAGATTCATTTGCTATCTAAACAATGATTTTAAGAATTACAATGAAAAACGAAACAAAAAAAAATAAAGAGTGTTAAAAAAATAACTCTTGCACAAAAGTAAAAACAGACGAGTAGTAAGATTAAAAGTATGAGACAAGGGGCAAAAAAAAAAAAGAAAAAGTCGAGAAAAAGAAAAGTGTGGTGAGGTCAGGATTCAAGTGTAAAAGAAGCGAGTGCCTTTAGTAAATTGAATTCCCATTAAGTAATGAGTTTACACACAAATAAAAGGCCAATACTCTTTCTGTAATTAATAGGAAAATGTGAAATTTTTTCTAAACTCCATTTTTCACTGTTAATGAATTTTTATTTTCTATTCAAGTAATTAATATATATATATGTTTTTATATTCAACGATTAAAAATATCCCTTGGAATATTTTCAAAATTAATGTAATATTCCAAAAATATTTAAACAATATTCCAATAATATTTCCCAATATTCCAATAATATTTCAACAATATTCCAAATAATATTTACCAATATTTCAATATTATTTCTCAATGTTCCAATAATATTTTCCAATATTCCAATACTATTTCTCAATATTCCAATAATATTTCCCAATATTCCAATACTATTTCTCAATATTCTAATAATATTTTAACAATATTCCAATAATAATTCCCAATATTCCAATACTATTTTTCAATATTTCAACAATATTCCAATAAAATTTCTCAATATATCAGTTATTATTTTCAATATTTGTCAACAATTTTACAAAAAATTTATGCAAAATTTATTTCTGAAACGTGAAATTATTCTTCCTACTATAATAAAACTCATGAATAATAATTCTCAAAATGTCGAGAAAATTTCTTTAATATTTTATCGCATATTATCAGGAAATGAATGTAAATTCAAAGAGAACAAATTGTTCGGAACTGAATCATATATATATATATATAGATAAAATCATAACATGTGAGCTTTTGAGTATATATATATATATATACAACGAGACAAGTTTGTGTCAGAAATTGAAATTTGGATTCAAATGGGAAAATTGGTTTGAATTCGGTGCTATAAATTTTGTCCGTTACAAAATTGAAGAGGGGTGACAGTTATAGTGGAGAGAGGGAGATGCTATAAAGGGAGGAAAGAGGAGAGGCGTTTGGATAGGTGAGTTAGAGGAGTATAGTCATTTCCCAGTCACTCTTCTCTATGTCGTCCATTGGTTTCATCCCGATTTCCCTAAATTTCAGTGTGCTTCCCAAACTTCATATTCGTGCGGCCACACGGATATTATGACGTACAACTAGATATCGTCCGATTTCATGTCAAAACGATCCTTGCACGCCATCGCCAATGGGATTGTTATTTGTGGCGATCGTTCACACGCCCCGGAATATAAATTATAATATTATAAAGTAATATCATTTCTTTAAATTAATATTGTTACACTTATATTTGTAATTAGAATTTTTTATTTTTCAATTAATAATTTATATGGAATGACCCATTTTTGAAAAAGACGTATTCTTTTTTTTATTTATTTAACATAATAAAATTGCGGAATATTTCATCCACATTCCTTGGAATATTCCTAACGAATATTACATCCCTAATGCAGGAATATTATAATATTTAGGAATTTGAATGGAATATTTCATAGGAATAATTCAAAATATTAATAAAATATTCTATAGTAATATTTAAGAATGTAGATTGATTATTTTATAGGAATCGTTCGGAATATTAATGAAATATTCCATAGTAATATTTAGGAATGTGGATTAAATATCTCCTTAGAAATAATTATAAATGCGGATTGAATATTCCACAGGAATAGTTTGTAATATTAATGAAATATTCCACAGTAATATTGGATGAAAGAAAAGTAAATGTATAGTAAATGTGGATGAAATATTCCATAGAAATAGTTAGAAATATTAATTAAATATTTCATAGTAATATTTAGAAATGGGGTGGAATATTTCAGGAATATGAATGGAATATTTCCTTCTTTTATATATATATATATATATATTTTGAGCGTTAAATTCTCTCTCAAAACCAGATAATTATTAGCGATCCTCAAATTCCGAGGTAAAATGGAGAGGGTGATGCTGCGTGTATATATATAGGTGACACGTGCCTGTCGATGATCAATTTCTCTTGTGGACCCTCGCCTCCCTCTCGCCATCGTAACTCACGTCACCGATAATTTTAAACCGTTTCACTGGGATAAATGCCTCATGGATTTTGCCCCGGCTACTACGTTATCGAAAGGATGACGGTTGAATGACATTATTTTGTTGCTGCTAGAACCTGAGTTGATTTCCAAACTAGTGAGATGCCCTCAAATAATATATATCTATGTATTTATATTCGTGCAAATGGATCGAATTTTTTTAAAATTAAAGAAGAAACTTTTTATTTCTGATCTATAACAAATATTCCAATAGAATATTTTTAACTCACATTCCACTGAAGCGTTGTGAACATTCCTAAAAAATAATCTTTAAGTTGAAATGGAATATGCCCAGTTAATATTCCATTGGAACCTAAGGAATATTTGTTACAATTATTTTTAACATTCCATTGGAATTCAATGGAATGTTAATTAAGAATATTATATTGGAAACTAGAGAATATTCCTAATAAATATTCCATTAGAGTCTAAGAATTATTCCTAATGAATATTTCATTAGAATATAAGGATTATTCCCAACGAATATTCCATTGGAATATTGTAAGAGTATTTTATGGAATCTTAAAGTATACTAATATTCCTCATATTCCAATGGAATATGTCTGTAATGTGAATGAAATATTCCTAATGTTTTTGCTTCCTCGTGGAGGAAGCTTTATAGTCCTTTCGTTTATAAAACTTTTCAAAGTGGCGGAAACAAATGTTTTTCTTTATAGAAACAAATTATATGAGATCCTGATCAATTGTCCGGATGTATGTATGTGTGTTGCGTATGTGTGTGTGTGTGAGTGTGTGTGTGTGTGGATCCCTTTTTTGTTTAGAAGATAACTTTAACAGGTTTTAATGGATTTAGATAAAATTTGGTAGGCTCATTTATCATATTAATATCTCAAATCTGACCAAAGGATTTTGAAAAATACCCACAAAAAAAAATTTTATCGTCTTTTTTCCAAAAATTTTTTTTTAATCGAAAAAATTTTTAAATAGAAAAATTTAAGGTTATATATAATAAAATCGTATTTCTTATGTGAAGACGAATCGATCGATATAAATAAAGTATACATTTGAGGTAAATTTAAAGAATTAATGAAAGTTAAAAAATCAAAATCACATTTTGGCAATAAAATTTTGCTTTCTCCACGAGGAAGCAAATTTTTTTGCTGATCGTAAAGAGGAAGCAAAATGTTCATGTAATAAACATCTGAATTTACAACTTGTTTAATAGATTATTCCTAATGTTCCAATGAATGATTCTAGGAATATGAATGCAATGTTTAAAGAATTTCAATGTAATATTTTCACGTGAAAAAAAACAATCTCAAGGAAACTGTTTCTAAAAATCAAATAATTTTCCATTAATTTATTATTATTATTATTATTGTCTACAATCACCCACAATATGGACTTTCATAACACGAAATACAATATAATTCCAAACAATCATCACAAAAGTTGAAATCTCATTAAAATTTTGTTCCCAAAAGAAGAAAGCTAACTAAAGCGACCGCAGTGAAAATCAAAAGCAATCTCCTTAAAGTTACATAAATTGAATTTTACAAATGATTTTAATTCTTGTCGCAGACATCTAATACACTTTCACCTATTTATGAAAAGTGACTTTTCCTTAAAACAAAACGACTGGTACAAACTATTAAAATGAATCTTGAGACTGAAGCACAAGAGGAGAGGGAGGGAGAAAGCAAAAAAAAAAATATAAATAAATAAAATAAATCCATTTACTCTCGGTTATATTAACTGCATTTTCTTCAACCCTTGTAAATACATGAGTAAACAAAGGGCCACAGCAATTAACGGTTGAAACCCAGGGAGTATTTCGAACTTCTTTTGTCCGCAAATAGCGTGTCAATGAAAGGAAAATAAAATGCAGTTCTTAAAGTAAGAAGTAATTAACTCGAGGCAGTATAAGGGTGAGTTTTAATTTCCAACAACGTTCCAAGAGCGGGCGCGAATTTACTGGAGTCCGTGAAGGAATTCCCGCTTCCGGGCGGAAGTCGTTCGTCAGGATGTAGGAAGCTTCTTGAGGAGGAACCTGAGACCTCTTGAGGTCGATCGATGGGCCTCGAGACCAACGAGTTTTCCCACTACACACACACACACACACATTTATATAGATATATATTGCATCTTTTAAATGAAATGAATGAAACAATGAGAAATCGCAAGTAAAATGAAACATATACAAGAAAATTCAAAAATGTTTCTCAGGTTTAGTTCGGACTATTACTGAAATATTCCAAAGTAATATTTAGGAATGTAGATGAAATATTTTATACGAGTCCTTTGGAATATTAATGAAAAATTCCATAGTAATATTTAGGAATGTGGATGGAATATTTTATAGGAATAGTTCAGAATATCAATTAAAAATTCCATAGTAATATTTAGAATTGTGGATGGAATATTCCATAGTACTGTTTCGGAAAGTGGATGAAATATTTTCTAGGAATAGCTCGGAATAATAATGAAAAATTCCATAGTAATATTTAGGAGTGTAGATGGAATATTTTGGAATATTAACAAACTATTCTACAATAATATTTAGGAATGCGGATGGAACAATTCAGAAGAATAATTCGGAATTCATGAAATATTTCCAAAAAAAACTAAGTATGTTGAAAATTTTAATATTCCTGGAATATTGATGGAATATTCCTATTGGTATGTGAATGAAATACGCAAAAAATGAAAAGTTTATATAGAAATTGAATCAATGTGATGAAGTAATCATGAAACCATCACTTTTATTCTATAATTACAGCATAGCGTGTTTGAAACACTAATGACAACGATGCAAATACCGATATGAATTCTTCATATTAATGCTTGTTACGTTGATTGCGACCTAAGATTGAAAAAAAAGAAATCCCAGTTCAGCCATCAACATTGACATCAAGTACCCTTTATTCAAGAATTCGTTTTCTTTTTCTTTCTTTCTTTCTTTCTTTCTTTCTTTCTTTCTTTCTTTCTCTGTGATAAACACCATCATGAGAGATAAAAGGGTCTTCAAACTTTTCCAATTTTGATTGGAACTTTTAGGATATTAACGTAAGAAACGCCCAACGAAGTTTCATCAAAGTCTCTCGATTCGCAAAAAAATATATTCTTTTTATTACTTCTTTTTTTGAAAAAAAAGAATCAAATCAATACTAATTTTTTATATTTGATCTTTAGGAATATTCCTAAATTCCTAAAAAATATTATATTGGATCATTAGGAATGTTCCTAAGAAATATTATATTGGAATCTTAGAAGTATTCCTAAGGATTATTACTTTGGAACATTAGGAATATTTCATCCATATTCCAGAAATATTAAAAATGTTCTCCACTTGGAATGTTGCTTTGGAATCTTTTGCAAAAATATTCTATTGGAATATTTTGGGAATATTCAATCGTAATGTTGTAGGAATATTCCATTGAAATATTCCAAAGAAACATTCCAAAGGTTTGGAAATTTTTAAATTTCCGAACTATGGAAGGAATATTCACAATGTTTCAATGGAATATTTCAGGATTTTTTTGTAATATTCCAGTAAAGTTTCTAGTCGTTTTTTTGGCAAAAAGTAACTTAATAATATTCTACGTACAAGAATTTTAATATTTTAACATAGGTATATGAAATTGGTTTAATCTTAGTTTCTAAAAAGACATTTATTTTGATAGTTATTATAATTCAATTTAACGATTTAATTAGCCATATTCATGTGCAGTTAAATAAGGTTGGGGGAGGGAGGGGAAGAGAATGAGAGTAGGGAAAAAAGGTACATAGCAATAATTTTACTCATACCTCGTGGACCTAATTGAGTCTATAAGGTGACCTGTATAGCGTCGAGGGAACTTGGCGCATTATAGCTTAGTTTAAATTGGCGCTAATCTGGGTGCCGAGTCTTAATGACTAACCCAACCCCACTCGCTTGGATTGGGAGACATTTATCGTCAGCTTGGGAGCGGCAAACAGTAATTGGAGCGCGTTCGCGAACTACAAAATTGTCGACCAATGGCTGAAAGGCAAAGTCATCAGACACACACGGGGGCCACATTCACGATGAACCTATCGCGTGACCTTTCTATTGAAACTAAACACTTTTAAAAAATTTTTTATTATAATTATTATTAATATTTTTATTATTATTACTTATATTGTTTTAAATTATTGTCAGCATTAATAGTAGAATTAAAATTTATAAAAACATTTTACTTTTGTCGAAATATTGATGGAATATTCCTTTGGAATATACTTAATGTCCCAATGGAATATTCCAGAGAATATTACTCGCATATTCTTAGGAATATTTCAGGAATATTTCAAATGATATTTCTTAAATATTCCAAAAAATATTACTATTACATTCCAAAGAATATTATTGGAATATTTCAGTGAGATTACTTAATATTAAAAAAATTTCTTTAGATTCGAAATAATTTCATTTGTTATTAGTTACTTTATATTTTAAATAAAATATAAAATTAAATTAAAATCTTATTATTTTTAATGAATTGTTTAAAAAATTAAATTAAATTTTACATTCGTACAAAAGAATTTCAATTATTTCAAATGCAAAATGAATTTCAATGTTTGATTCAAAGAGAAACGAGTTGCATTTCAATAAATTAAACTTTCATTTCTTTACTGTTTATTTACAGTATGAAGTAATTATATAAAATATGTAAAACATTTTTTCTCTTACCTATACATATATATGTATATATATATTTTTTAAAAAAGCATTTCAGAGCATAAATTATTTCAAAGTATAAAATTTTTGCAAAAATCTCTTCATCACCAAAAAGAAAAAAAGTCTACAAAAGACTAATATTATTTTTTTAATAATATTGTTTTTTATAAAAATAGATAAATATTTTTAAAAAATGCAAAATCTTTTCTATTCTGTTTTAGATTTCAGACGATGGGAATTTGACCACATCAATATTGACGTTCAAACCAACTTTACTGGACCACGACAAGGTTCTCACGTGTCGTGCAACAAATCCCAAAGTTCATAATGGTGCTGAGGAAGACTCTTGGAAATTAAATGTTTTTTGTGAGTATTGTAAAAAAAAATAAAATTCTCTTCCCGTTGTTTTTCTTTTATTTTATTTTTTTTTTTGATTGATTGATATTGATAGGACTGTGAGTGAAATGAATCGCTCGTCGAAATATATCTACTGACCGGATTAAAAGCCTGGTTGTAGGTTTTTGGATGAGACCATTGATATAGATTATACAAGCGCAAACGCGAATGTAATCGCAATAACGAGACGTCAACGAGAAGAGAGGGAAGAAGGGGGAGTGGGAGTAAAATAGAACACGAACCGACTTTTGCAATTTTTATATATATACGAGCGACCACGCACTCCAATTTCGAGGGCTACAATATATTCAGAGGCCTGAGAGAGGGAATTTTTTTTTTTTTTCACTCACCTGAAACACTCCGTGCGCGAGTGTGTTTTTTGATGCTTTCAATATCCAAAGCGCAAAACAGATTAGAATTCTCCGTCTTTTTTTTCTTTATTAATTAAATAACATTTTTTCCTGTCTCAAAAAAAGAAAAAAAAAAAATTGATAGAATCAAAAAATTCTGTTTTCAATTTTCGTCCCTATTCATCTATTTTTATTATTATTATTAATTATTATTATTATTTAATTTATAATTTCTTCTTTTTCAATTTTATTCATTCAAAATATTTTTTTGCTTTTATTATATATTTACTTTAATTTTAATTTATTCTGTATTCTAATAAAGTGGGATTTTTTATTTACTTGTATATCTATTTTTAAATAATGTCGCGATTCATCTATATGTGATCATTTCATTAATTAATTTTTTCTCTTCGTTTATTATATTTACTTTAATATTTTATTTATTTTTTTATCATTGATGATAATAATTAACTTTTTAGAATTTTATTTAAAAAAATATATTTTACAAAAATATTCCTGGAATATGAATACCTAATAATGTTTCTTTACAATATTTTTTAAGAGCAAGGAATATTCGATTTACATTTTTTGGAATTTTCCATTGGAACCGCAGAAATATTCTAAAAGAATATTCAATTTATATTCTAGGAATATTAAAATATTTAACACTTTGGAATGTTTCGAATATTATATAGATAATTTTCCACATTCCATCAATATTCTGCTTAAATATTCAAAAAATTAAGATATTTTAAATATTAAAATATTCCAAATATTACAATATTCCAAACATTAAGATATTACAAATATTAACATATTCCAAATCTAGATTGAATATTTTACTTTGGAATATTAATTTTAATATTTCTGAAATAGTAGTCGAATATCTTTTCGAATATATACAAAAATATTCCTAGAATGTATTTTCTTTTTAATTTCGTTTTTTCCGCTAAAAGTATTATTTATTTTTTAATTTTAATTTTTTGTAAAACTAGAAAAGACCGAGAAAATATCTTTATGAAATTGAATGTGAAATATTTAAATATTTCCTTTCAGATAAATTGAAATAGTACGAAAAATAGTTCAACAAAAGTTTGACACTTTATAACGGAAAAGTATATATATATTATAAAATTCTCAATTTCAACTTTATATCACTGGAAATTTTTTAAAATTTAATAATACAAAAGAAAATGAAGAAGAAAAAACAAAACAAATAGTATATTATCTAATTTTCAGAGAGAATTATAGAGAAATAATAATTCTTGTTATGAGTGGAGAGGGGTTTTGGGGGAATATAAAATATTTCTACAATGTCTATCAACGAATGCTTCTAAATGTTTAAATACGTCTGTGATTTCAATGATTTAACAACTCTTCATATTCTCAAAAAATAAAACATATTTAATTCATTAATTTAGTCAGGCTGTGAATCTGTGATAAATTAAATTTTTCCTCAATTTTATTTAAAAAAAAAAAAAAAAAAAATTATCTACGTTATTATTTAAACTTGTTATTTTACAATTACTTTTATTTTATTTCTAATTTATAAAATAATACTAAATTCGATAAATTATGTTTTTATATTTCAGTTATTCCGATTTTGCATCTCGAATTGGGATCAAAATTAAATCCCGACGACATTGAAGAAGGTGATGATGTCTATTTTGAATGCAAGGTCCACGCTAATCCATGGGCTTATAAAGTCATTTGGAAACATAATGTAAGTATTCATATTAGTTTAAAAAAGTAATTTTGAAAAATTATTTCTTTAATTTTTTCTTTATCTCAAAATATTATTAAAAAAAAAAAATTCCTGATGTCACAAAATATTCTCACATTTAATTGGAATGTTAGGAATGTCATTGAAAAATATTCTATTCCTATTCCAAAAATATTCCATTGGATTATTTAGAATTTCTTTTGAAAATATTTCCTTAATATTTCAGGAATATTTTTGGATTAGGAACAGAATATTTTTCAGTGATATTCCTAACATTCCTTAGGAATAATTTTTTCTATTTTTTTATTTTATTTTTTTATTTTTAGTTTATTTTTTGTTTTATGATTTTGTTTTTCATTGAAAAAGAAAACAAAATTGAAAGAAAGAAACACACGTAAAGTTTCTTCTCATTTGTGAAGCTTTTAGCTTTTACTCAATATACCGAACATTTTCTTCATGGCACACATATATATAGATCTTGTTTCATAAGTCCCGTCATACCTTGTAATAGAATGTTCGTAACAAACGTTTCCTTTATCCCCCCCTACCCCCATTCCTTCTTTTTCCTCCATCCTATGAACTTAGCCCATTTCTCTGACAAATATTCATTTCTTTTTCCTCTCCCATAAGAATTCATTCCTTCGACATTTTCTAAGAGAAAAAGCATCTTTGTGCAGCGCTCTCACTACTTTCGACTACTCTCTCCCTCTTATTCGTGGATAACTTCACTTCTACAAGAACATTACCATTCCTTTTGGAATTTCAAACTCCTTATTCTACTGTATTTCATGTATCTATTTACCATGAGCAACGCAAATACTATTTTTTTATTTTTATTTTTTTTTATGAACTTTATTCTTTACTGCATCAGTCTTCATTATACGATGCGCTTTTATTTAAAAATATTCTGAATAACGAAGCAAATATATATGTTTATAACTCTATAAATTTGGCCTCATAATATTTATATTTGACATTCACCAAAATGCGTGTAGAAGGTGGAGAAAAATTTTTCAATGTAGAACTTGTTTTTTTATAATTATAATTTGGTATCAATTTTCCCCAATAGCATGGAATATTCCATTAATATTCCTGAAACATTTGGAATATACAAAAAAAAATTACCAAATTATTTCAGGAATATTAAAATATTCCTCCTTTGGAATATTATAGGAATATTCCATTGTAATATTAATGAAACATTCTCACAACTTTCCATTTCAATATTCCTAAAATTTTCCAATCTATTTTTCTTATAATATTCCAAAAATTTTCTAATATAGTACTAGGAAATCCCGAAAAAATATTTTATAAACATTTTCTTTAAATATTCCAAAGAATTTCTTTGAAATATTTTCTTGGAATAATATTACTCTAATATTGTAATGAATATTATTTAAATATTCCAAACTATAGTACCTAAATATTTTTAATTTGTTTTGCATTTTATTTATTGTTTCAGGGCAACGTGATACAAAATGATGTGAAAAATGGCGTCATTGTACAACAATATAATCTTGTATTGAGACATGTAAATCGTTCTCAAACTGGAAACTATTCCTGCGTTGCCAGTAATGTCGAAGGCGATGGTTACAGTCAAAATATTGAAATAAAAATCATGTGTAAGTTAATTTTTGTTTATTTTCTATAAAAATTAAAAAAAAAAATGTGTTATTTTTCTTTGTTTTCAACATTTCTGAAACTAACAATAACTGACATGTAAAAACATTTTATATATAAAATATTAAAGCAAAATATGATAAAATCAACAATTCATTAAAATGAAAATAAGTTTTAAGCACTGTTATAATAATCAAAGGCGAATACTGGAAAAACATTTTCTATTAAACTAATAATTACACTGAGAGTATATAATATTCAACTTTTTTTTTTATCGACTAAGTTCCCTTAAGTTAATAATATACGTATTCGTGTCCCATTTTGGTTTTAAATAAAATACAGAATAGAAAAAACTTTTTTTTTTTATTAATCTTATCGATTAATTATTTTTGAAACTTTTCCAAGCAAAATCATTGAAGAGAGAAAAAAAATTACCATCGATTCTTTTTGTTTTAAAGTGACCCAGATAGCATAACTTATTCCTGGAACTTTCCAGGAATATTCAAATGGAAGATTTGAATATTCCACCATATTATTCCTAAATATTCCTAAATATTCCATTATAATATTCCTAAATATTCCACTATAATGTTCCTAAATATTCCATTATATTTCCAAATATTCCACTGCGATATTCCGCTTTTGATTTCAATTGACCAAAGAAATATTCCTGTTTCAACAATTCTGTTTTTTTTTCTTTAATTTTTTTTAACTTTCATGTTTTTTTACTCATTCTGTGTTGCTGTAAAAATTAGCCCTTTTGTTGCTCTCGTATTACAATTGCAACGTCTGTTTGCACATGAGGAAAATGAACAGAGAAAGGAAGAACAATGCGAGTACAATATTACACTTTCAATGAATCTGCATCAGATTTTCTTTCTCTTGTTGTTTGGTATATATATTTTTTTATACATTATTTTATAGTTATTTCAACGAGACTATTCATTTTGTAATTTCTTGCGTCTACAAATGAGCTTGATTAAAAAATACATATACACATATAAATATACAGTAAATGTATATTCAAACAAGAAATACTTTTATAAAAAAATAATAAAAATTAATTAATTAATTTAATGCTTAGATTTTATAAAAACTATTCCTAAAATATTCCACAGAATATTCTCACAGTATTTTATAGAAACTACTCCTAAAATATTCCATAGGATATTATCGTAGTATTTCATAGAAACTATTCCTAAAATATTCCACAGAATATTCTCGCAGTATTTTATAGAAACTATTCCTAAAATATTCCATAGGATATTATCGTAGTATTTTATAGAAAATATTCCTAAAATATTCCATGGGATATTTTCGTATTATTTCATAGAAACTATTCCGAAAATATTTCACAGAATATTCTCGCAGTATTTTATAGAAACTATTCCTAAAATATTCCATAGAATATTTTCATAGTATTTCACTGGAATATTTTTAATTTTTAGTATTAACAAATAAAAGAAAATAAATATGAAATGAAATATTTTCTTTCTTTTTTTTAAATAATTACAAATAAATTAAAAATAAATATTCCAATTAAATTTTTCTTATCCTTCTAAAAATATAAGACTCTTGTTATATTTACGTTGAAAACAATGTTAATGATGAAAAGACTTTTTGCAAATATTTACAGATAAGCCAATTTGCGTACAAGGACAACAGTGGGTCTACGGTGTTGCTCGTCATGAGGACGCTAAAGTTATTTGCAAAGTAGAATCATATCCACCGCCAAATAATTTTCGTTGGACATTCAATAATACTGAAGAAATGGTTGATGTACCACAAGCACGTTATCAAAATTCAACTCGTCATTCACAAAGTGTTCTCACTTATCGTCCCGTTAATGAAATGGATTATGGCACTGTTTTTTGTTGGGCAAGCAATACAAAAGGACAACAAAAGAATGCATGTGTTTTTCACATTATTCCCGTTGGTATGTAAACAAAAATTATTGTTGATTTTTTACGATAACATTCTTTTTTTTTTTTGATAATTAAAATTCGTTAATTTTTTTTCTTTCTTTCTTTTGTTGACAATTAAAACTCGTTAATTTTTTTTTGTGAGTAACTCAAACAATATTTTGTCAACCATTTGTATATATATATATATATATATATAGAAAATATTTTAACGAACAATTTCTCTGGGCCATAAATTTGGGACAAATGTGGAAAACTCCATTGCCCCGTTGTGCATACGTTGGCAAAAACGTATTGAATCAAGCCTTCAGCTTTCATATTTTATGTTGGCTTTATCTTTTATGGGAATAATAAAATCGTTTATAACAACTGGTTATCGAGTAACACAGCTACAAATATTGCAGTCATTATTGTGGCCGAGCTTGTCTGATTGTTATTTCTCTCATGTATATTTTATTTGGGTTGTGTCCTCATTTAAAAATGGGCATATGTGTTTCATATATTTTATTGATTTGACACCATTTTTTATTACAAAAAAAAAAAAATAATAATAATAATAAATAAAATTTTTCCTTCACATTTCAGAAGTATTTTCATAAAAAATTATTTTAAAAAATAATTCCAATTGTTACTGCACAAATATTTCCGTGTATTCCATTTTAATATGGAATATTCGCAATGTCCTAATGAAATATTAGTAATATCCTATTGGAATATTAGTAATATTTTATTGTAATATTATAAATATCATGTTGGAGTATTATAATATCCTTTTGGAATATTATTAGTACTTTATTGGAATATTTTTTGGATTTATTCCATTAATATTACTGGAGTATTTTTTGGATATATTCCATTAACATTACTGGAATATTTTAGGAATATTATAATTTTTACAATTAAAATTAAGTTTTAAGAAAAAAGGAACGAATTTTTGAGAAGAAATAAAATTGTAATTGAGTTTTAATTAAATTGATGGGATTTAAATTGAATTTCCTGCTTAAATGTGAAAATTGGTAGATTCAAATAAGAGAGAAAGAGAGACAATGACGAAAGTAAGGTGAGCTTTGCAAATTAATTACAGGAAAGCCGGACGCCCCACATAACTGCACTTTGACGAATCAAACAACAGTTTCCCTCTCTGTCGAGTGTATTGCCGGTTTTAATGGCGGTCAAGAACAAAGCTTCGTTTTGGAGGTGTACGATCAACAAACTGGTGCACTTCAAGCAAACGTCACATCGAGAGAGAATGCCACTCTCACTGTGAAAGGTTTAGAGCCGGGAAAAGTTTTGAAAATGGTTCTATATGCAATGAATGGCAAGGGACGAAGTGAATCCACCCTACTCGAGGGATTTACACTTAAAGTTGCCGAGAAACAAACTGGTAAGTGATATGTTTCTTGATAAAAAAAACAAAAAAAAAAAAAACAAGAAAAAATCAAATGCAGGACCGATTTATTTTCTCATATAAATTGAACATATTATTCTATATATTTTTATATTCTATTTTGTTTCTTAATTTTTTGTTTTATTTTTTTACTATAGGAGTTCAATGAATCATTTTGTCTGACTATAACTGATGTTCACTACTGAAACAAAAAAATGGAATATTCCAAAGGGATATTCTTAAGGAATATTTAAAATATTCCAAAGTAACATTCTAAAGGAATGTTGGAAATATTCCAAAGTAATATTCTGAAGGAATATTGGAAATATTCCAAAGTAATATTCTGAAGGAATATTGGAAATATTCCAAAGTAGTATTCTAAAGGAATAATGGAAATATTCTAAAGGAATATTGGAAATATTCAGTTTAATTTTTTAAGTACTTAATTAAAAGAAATTTGCTAATTAATCAATAAATTTTGTTCTAAATTAAAAAAAAAAACAAAAATTTCTAAATAATTTAAATAATATTATTGATAAATAAATATATACATACATATAGCAGAAACGTAATAACACTCAGCTTACGGGTTTAAAAATAAAATGGACTAAATGGACCGATAGAAATCCTAATCCTATTCATTGACGTGTATTGTATCCGATGAAGCGTATCGCCAAATTTACAAGTGAAATTGCTTTTAGTCCTTTCATCACCGAGAAGCCAGAGTATCAGCCTAAAAAAATCCGCGCTTTATTCACTGTAAAAAAAAATTTAATCCTATTTTCCGCCTTCTATTTGTGACACTCTTTTTGTTTGTTTTTCTTTTCTTCTACACTCTTTTTCTTGTCAAAAAACAAACAAACAAACAAAAAATATATATAAAATATTCCTAAAGTATTAAAAAACGTATTTCTAAAATATTACTGAAATATTCCTTAAACATTCCTAAAGTATTCCTAAAGTATTACAAAAAATATTACTAAAATATTCCTTAAACATTCCTAAAATATTCCAAAAAATATTCCAAAAATATTACTAAAACATTCCTTAAACAGTACTAAAGTATTCCTAAAATTCCTAAACATTCCTAAAGTATTTCTAAATTACTCCTAAAATATTCCAAAAAATATTCCTAAAATATTACTAAAACATTCCTTAAACATTAATTCCTTAACATTCCTAAAGTATTTCTAAATTACTCCTAAAGTAAACCTAAAATATTCCAAAAAATATTCCTTAAATATTACTAAAACATTCCTTAAACAGTTCTAAAGTATTCCTAAAATTCCTAAACATTCCTAAAGTATTTCTAAAATACTCCTAAAATATTATATTTGTACAATATTTTTGTAATTTTTATTTGAAAAAAAAATAATTTGCGACTCAAATTAAAAATAACTTTTTAATTAAACACTAGTTCTTTGATGTTTTTTTTCTATTTTTGTTTTTTTTCACGTGGCAATAGAAGGGAGAGGGAAGGGACTTTCTTTGAAAAAAAAAAACAACTTTGATTGAAACTAAAGAGAAAAAGGTTTTAGTGGTTGGGAAATCCAATCAGTCGAAGTGAAATTTACTTTCTGTAATAATTCAAGCTTGCTGTGAAATCAAAACTCTCCCTCCCCCAATATTGAATACTGAATATGAATGATTTCATTCTACCTCGAAAAATAATTTAATTGGAAAAATGTAAACTTTACGTGTGAATTCATACGAATTAACGAACCATAAACAAAAGAAAAAGGGATCTAGAAAAGTTTTTTTTTTCTTTTAAGAGAGAATGAAAGTGAATGAGAAAGATTGAGAGAGCGAGAGAGAGAGAGAGAGAATTAGTAATTCTGCGAATGAAATAAAACAAGTTTAAAAATAAAACAAGCATGAAATTTTTATTTAAACTTTGAGAATCTAAAAACAATATAAACTTCTTTGTGAGTGAGAGTGAGAAAGAATTTTTCCTGGAGAATTGAATCGTCAGATGTCTTACTACATTTTGCACTTTAAACTGTCGTAGGTATTCGATACTTCAGTAATGGAAAAGAGATTCTCGAATTGGATTGTAAGTCGAGTGAATTTTACTCTTTTCCTTCTTATTTCTTTTTTTTTTTTATTTTTAGATTCTCATCGTTTGAAAGTAGATTGTAACTTGCATATTTACGTTACGAATTTATATATAAAGAGAAATGGGTGAGAGAGAGAGGAAGAGAGTTAAAAGACATTCTGAATGTAATGTCCTTTTGAAACTCGATATTCATTAAATGCTATTAGCGAGAGTCTTATTTATAAAAGTGCCGCCCTGCTACTGAGTCCACTCGTCTGCATGCTCCTCTCTTTTACCCTCAATTCCCTTTATGAATCACTAACAGAGAACGTCGTCGACGACGACGACGATGAGAAGATTTATAAATCCTTCCAGTATGAAAATCACAGCAAGAGACTAAAGTTATACGCCAAAGAAATGTGAAACGTTGGAAAAATATTCATATTCTCTGACAAAATGAATCTATTAAATTTGCCCGATTAATGCATAAAAAGGAGAAAAAAAAATTGAAAAATATGGTCATACAAAATAATAAAAAAAATAGTACTAAATAATTTTTTAAATCTAAAAAATTATAAAATAAATATTAATAGTTAAAAAAAATAGTTAAACAAGTATTAATAAAGAGAGAAAAAATTTCGGTCCTCGGTTTAAAAAAGAAAAATAATAATTATATATTATTTATCATTTATGAAAAGAAGTTTTTTGCACGAGAGCAGTACGCGTTTTGTTCACAGGCACACCTGTGCCCTTTGAGATAACACCGTTACTGGGAATACTCATCGGGGTTGTGACCGCACTTCTGTTGGTCACTGTGACGATATTGGCTGCCCTCAAAGTCAGAAGCGAGAGACGAGCTCAAAGACCGGGCGACCTGCCTCTTAAAAAAGCCACAGTGCCGAGCTCTGAGGACCTCTATGATGCTGATGACAGAAATCCGGATGTCGTACCCATTAACAAAGGTTAGTTCAAAACCTTCTTTTTTCAAAAAAAAAAAAAAAAATTATTTTTCCCATCTACTACAAAGAAAAGTTCTTGAGATAGTAATTAAAAACGAGCGTGAAGCCTTCATTTGTTTAAAATCAAAAGCTAAAACTTCATATGAAACAGAATTTTTTTTCCATACGGCCTCTCAACACAAATCAAGCTACTCTATTTTTTTTTTTTTTTTTTTATTAAATAAAAGCAACAGATTTTCATCATTTTAATTTTACTAAGAGATTTATTGTGAAAAATGAAACTGAATTGCAGACATTAATTAATTTATTATTCTATTGAATTTTTTGAATTCCATAGGGGATCGAACCCCAAACGCATGACCTATAAAACGAAGCGCCTTAACGACTGCGACCAAATTAAATTCATTTTGTTTACTTTCTATTGAATCAATGAAACTAATTTAATATAATAATTATTTAACCAGGAAAAATAATTATTTCATTAGGAAAACTAATTATAATTATTATTTAATAATTTCGAGAAAAAAATCGATTTAGAAAAAACGCAATCGTTATTTTTGTTGATAGATTCGGATTATCAGTTAACTGGGTCTACAGCGGGAACGCCATTAGCCACTCAAAATACTCCAGATGGGCTTCCAGCAACTTCACTTCCAGTCCAACAAACTAATCATCTGCAGAGCTTACCTGCTTATACGCACAACGAATACAATAATTACCCTACTTTACCGGTGAGAAAATTCTAATGAATTATTTTTAAATACCCAAAAAAACATTTATCACTAACGCAACTTTAAATAAAAAAATTATTAATTATTTCAATAATAATAAATAATTAATAATTATTTTTTAATATGGTTTGATTTATTTATAAATTTATATATTTATAATATTGATTTACTAAATATTAAAAAGTTTTTTTTAATAATTTAAAAAAATAAAAATTCATTCTTGTCTTGAGAAAAAAATTCTCAGCGTGTTTCAAGACATTTTTTTGTTTTGAATTTATCTTTTTTTAAATTATAAATGTCTTCAATATTCAATTTAAAGTTTTCTTTTCTCCATACCCAGAAAAGTCAAGTTATATTATAATAAAAAAAGAAGTTTAATATTCATATCGATTCTTAAACGTGTTAAAAAAGGGGGAATTTTTGCGAAAAAATCCGACAGCTTCCATTTCCGATTCTTCGCCTGGAGCTTCAAACTCTATTCCCAATACCACTTATCTATTTTTATTCAATGACCTGAACGAACTGCAGTATCACCAAAGCAAAGAAAGTGGAAGTGAAAATTCCCTCGGCACCGTTCAATGAAGTTTTCTAGAATAATATTAGTTTGGAAAAAAATTGAAGAGTTGAGCTTAAAAAAAAATAAAAAAAAAAAATTTAGAACAATATATTGTTTTACATTTTTTTTTTTTATTTTTTCTATACAAAATGTCTAACAATTATCAATTGTCATAATACTGAAATAAGACGAACGTTAAGTAAGACAAAAGGGCGCTTGCTTCGCTACTTGTTTCACGTGAAGTGATAACAGATGGCGCCACCTTACTTTACACTATTCTACCTTTTTCCCTTAAACAATGAATATTAAACTATTTTACATGAAATAATGGTCACTTTTGCAATTGTTGTTTTAAACAAGGACCATTATACCAAAAATTGTAATTAAAAATTAAAAAAAAAATTAAAAAATAATTTTAAAAAATAATTTTTTTTTATTTATTTATTTTTTTTTTTATTTAAACTATTTTACATGAAATAATGGTCACTTTTGCAATTGTTGTTTTAAACAAGGACCATTATACCAAAAATTGTAATTAAAAATTAAAAAAAAAATTAAAAATTAATTTTAAAAAATAATTTTTTTTTATTTATTTATTTTTTTATTTAAACTATTTTACATGAAATAATGGTCACTTTTGCAATTGTTGTTTTAAACAAGGACCATTATACCAAAAATTGTAATTAAAAATTAAAAAAAAAATTAAAAAATAATTTTAAAAAATAATTTTTTTTTATTTATTTATTTATTTTATTTAAACTATTTTACATGAAATAATGGTCACTTTTGCAATTGTTGTTTTAAACAAGGACCATTATACCAAAAATTGTAATTAAAAATTAAAAAAAAAATTAAAAAATAATTTTAAAAAATAATTTTTTTTTATTTATTTATTTATTTTTTTTATTTAAACTATTTTACATGAAATAATGGTCACTTTTGCAATTGTTGTTTTAAACAAGGACCATTATACCAAAAATTGTAATTAAAAATTAAAAAAAAAATTAAAAAATAATTTTAAAAAATAATTTTTTTTTATTTATTTATTTTTTTTTTATTTAAACTATTTTACATGAAATAATGGTCACTTTTGCAATTGTTGTTTTACACATGGACTATTATATCAAAAATTGTAAATAAAAATTTTTTAAAAATTAAAAAAAAATTTTTTTTTTTAAATTAATTTTTTTTTTTTTTTTGTTTCAGTTAACTGGCGAGGTGACGTACGCGGAACTTTGTCTACCAAGACCAACGACCCTATCGACAGCGCCTGAGACAAAATTATCGAGTATCAATAGTGTTGGAGCACTCGGTAGTCTCACGGGTTATGGAAGTGGTTTAGGTGTAATTGTTGGTGGTAAGCCTTATGCAAAAGAGGCGACAGTCTACGCCTGTATAGATCACAATGCAAGGCCACCAAAAATTGATTTTCCCGTTACACCATTGACAAGTGTCACTCCAGTAAGATCGAATGTCCTTCAAGATGTTGCAATTTCCGGTAAACAACAACATCATCCCCGAGAGGTTGTCACGGTTCGTACACCTTTAATTTCAACTCAAGAAAGTTGCGTATAGGGTCGGGATTCCGACGCGCTCAACGTTAATGAATACTACGTCTGATAGTCGCGTCGAAACGATTACGCGTTTTAAAAAATTATAAACAAAAAAAAATACAATAGCCTAACCTCTCAAAGGCCTCGAAACTTCTTAATATTATAAATCCCGTGAAAATTATTATTAAAAAAAAAAAAAAAAAACACTTTTCGATTGTCTCGAGACACGCTGGAACGTACTCGAGTTAGCGCTGACGGAACAGCATTTTTTTTACTATTTAGATAAAGTTTCAATTAAAAAAATTAATTAAAATTTAATTATTTGCTATAATGAAGGTTATAAAAATTGCGAATTTATTTTTGTAAAATATAATTATTGTTGGAAAATTTTATAAAAGTTAAAAAGTACTTACCGGAGGCTGGGCTCGAACGTCCGCCTTATTCAGTGGATGTAGTCGCTTTTACCAATTGAGCTACCGCTGAACTTGTTTGCTAAAGCTGAAAAAATAAAAAAACTGATGTAAAACCAAAAATAAAATTTGATTTTTTAATTAAAAAAATATAAATAAATATAAATTTAACAAATAAAGTAAATATTATACTTTACACAAATATTTTGTTTCAAAAAAATATTTCATTTTTCGACAATTTTTATAACTTTCATGAAAAATAAAAAAAAAAAACCTACCGTGAATTATTTACCAAAGAATGGAGCACAAAAGTTTCCCATTTTCTCGTATTACTTTTACAAAAAAAAAAAAAAAAGAAAAAATTGTTTATTAAAATTTAATTACATAAAAAGAACTTTTTATAAAAGTTCCGTCAAATTTTTTTTTCAAAAAAATTTATTTTTTCATAATTTCAAAGTGTTTGCACGGGAATGAAATTCATTTTTAGGATAAATTGACGTTTGCGTGCTGATCAAATAAATTTTGATTCGTATAACGTGTACTGGTTCGAGCTCTCCTATATAATATATATATGTGTGTATTCGAGTGGATGGAATCTAAAAAATTTTTCAGTTTGAAAAAAAAGAAAAAAAATTAATAGCACTCGGCAAAAAGCGTAAAATTAAATTCCATACATATTTAAAAGAAATTAAATTCAAATGTTCACGATTATAAAAAAAATGTATTCAATTTATTTATATGAGCGCACAATTTTTATCAAATCCCACGCGTCTCCGAGTGAAAAAAATTTTTTTTTTTTTTTTATTTTCAATCCACTCCTAAAACAAAAAAGTGTATTATTCCCGATACGTATTTTACGGAGGTCGAACTCATTGCCTTCGATAGAACAAAAAAAAAAAAAAAAAAAAAAAAAAATGAAACAAAAAGAAAAAAAAATGTAAATACTGTAAATAAAATCAAACGAGATTAGATATATTCTATATTGTGAGAGATCAAATGACTCCCTTTCTGCACAACAGGCAAATGCAAAAGAGGGCCAAAAATAAATAACTGACACAAAATAAATTTCTCCCCCGAGGGCAGAATTCATGCATTTATTTTTATCTTTATAATGTAAAAATATATATCTGACCAAAACTGCCACTTTAGTGTAATTAATTTACTTTTGAAAAAGAATTTTCAAATTTTAAAACAGTGCCAACCTTGATTTGAATTTTTTTTTTATTTAAAATTTTTTTTTTCTATTTATTATTATTAAAAATTAAAATTAAATGAATGTGAGCTTATTTTAAATGTTTTTTTATTTATTTTTTTTAATTAAAATTTTTTTTTTTGAACTTACAGTAATTTTTTTATTAATTATTATTATTAAATATATAATTTGATGAATGGAGGCTTATTTTAAGTTTGAAATTTGTCGTTTTTTATTATTTTTTTTGTAAATTATAATAATTAAATTATTTTTGAAAATGTCTAAAATTAAAAAAAGCTTCTTTAGAAACAAAAATAAATTCGTTTCTGGTCAATTTTTTAATAACACTTTTCGCTACGGGGGTTAATGGTCTAATGGAATTTAATAAATAAAAAAAAAATGAATCCTGTAAAATATTCCGTTGTACAGCGATATTTTTTCAAAATGACTAATTGCGTATAAGAATTGAAGGTTTTCGTAAATAATACGAAACGAATGAACAATTACAAAACAAAAAAAAAAATGATTGAAAAAAATATATATATATATACATAAAAAAAATTTATATATATGAGAAAAGAATACAAATGCAGATACGAATAATAAAAAAAAATTATATAAATACAGTTTTCCTTCTGTATGTGTGAATGTGTGTATATTTATACATGTGTATATATTATTATATATATATGTGTGGAACCGACGCAGTGAAATTAATGAAAAAAAGAGAATCGCGAGGAGACGAAAAGCCTTGACGTTTATCGAGAGATAGAGAGAGAGAAAGTTTTCATTTTCATTACCAGCGCAAGTACTAGTCTGAAAATTTTTTGCGCGAAATCGTGAATATACAAATTTTTTTTTTTTTTTTTTTTTTTTGTTCACCTAGAGAAATTTTAGGCACGATCCTCACGTTGACGATTGTAAATTTCTTTCTCGACGTTCGAATTCCCTTCTCCCCTTTTTCTCCGTTTCATCAAATATTTCCAGTGCGTACGAACCAATTTTGCCAATTTTTAGGCATCGTTAAATTCTCTCGAGCCATGGAAAATATTATTTCGTCTCTTTCAATGTCGCTATAATTTTTTTTTTTTTTGTGGCAAAAATGATAGTGTAATTCTGTGATATTAGATTTCAAGGCGACGTTTTTTTTTTATAAGTTTTGAAAAAATGAATAATTTTTATTTTGAAAGTAGAATTTTTTAAAAATATTATAGTATTATACATTAAATAGAATTTGAAACTAAAATTAGATAAAAATTTACTAAAAAAAAAAAAGAAAATTCTTGTTCAAAAAAAATATAATTTTTTTTATTCTCGTAAAATAAAATTTTAAATCCCTCTGGTTATTCTATATATGTGAGATGAGTTGTTGAGAACGTCAATTGAAAAGTTTCCAATGAAAAACTCAAAGTACATGAATAAAAACTAGAAATATATTTTTAAAAAAACTTTTTTTTTAAATTAAATGTTTTTTTTTGTGCCAAAAAGTTAGAAAAAAAATTCTTTCTACTGTAAACCCCCCCTCCCCCTTAAAAAATATCTTTTTTATTTTCATAAAATTAAAAAATAAATTCAAAATATTTTTTTTCTATTCTAAAATAAATTAATATAATATTTATTTCAAACAGGGATAAATAATAATTTTTTTCATCATTGGAAATATTAGATTTCATGGTTCAAGAAACAAAATAAATTTAGAATTTTCAACGGTATAAATATAATGTGAGAATGTTCATGAGTCGTTTATTCTGACAATCTCAGTATTTATTTCTAAAAAAAAAAAATGTCGAAAATATTCGACAATTTTGAGACTGTTTAAGTGAATAATAATAATTATAATAATAATAATAATATTAATAATAATAATAATTTCCTCGTCTCGTGAAGCGATTCTCATGCGACTTTGTCATCGGGACCTAAACTTATTTTAGAAAAAAAAAAAGAAAACTCATTTTGTATGAAAATATTTATTGTTATTCCAAGACTGCAACGTCTATACGAACACACATACGAAATACCAAAGGTTTTTTTTCAATATTTTTTTTTAATTATATATTTATTTTTTTCTTATGATTTGAATTTTCGAAAAAATATATTTTTCTAAAATTATTTATAATTAAAAATAATTTTTCTATTCATTTTTTTTAAACTACTCTTAAAATTTATAAATTCTTACAAAATGAAAGTTTTTTTTTTAAATCATAAAACTATTTTTGCAACTATTATAATTTTTGTTTTTAATTTGTTATAGGAAAAATTTTTGGTAAAAAAAAACTTGAAATTTTTATTTCGCTTGTGTTGTTCAATGAAAGACTGTGTGCTTGAGTGAAACTGTTATTGCTCCAAATCTCCTCCATTGTATGAAATGTGCGAATTTTTTTTTTTGTTTGTTAAGGAGTGAATCCCAAAAAAAAAACCGATGTAAATTTTTAATGAAATAAAAAGAAAAAAGAAGAAGAAAAAGGAGAAAGCAAACGATGACCATATACGTGTATTAACAATAATTACAAAGTCAAATATAAAAACAAAAAAAACAAAAATTATATCTATATATAAATGAAAAAAATAATTATGTACATATACACACACACGTACACGAAGAAATCATACGTCATCGTATAAATTAAATAAAGGTGTTGATATAAAAAGTGATTAAAAGGTTTTTTCATTTTTTCCCTCCTCATTTTTTTTTTGTATTTCTTACAGGGAGTGCAAAATTGTACTTTTTTGTTGCGCAAAAAATTAAAGACAAAATCAATTTTTATTGATAAAATTTTTTTTTTCAGCCACTAAAAATTCAGAGGTGATATAGGTATTTTATTTTTTTTAAAGAACCGCAGAGAAAATGGGGGAGTCGCCTATGCGGCGAAAACCAGGCTATTCAACGTTAAGACCATTCTCATGCGATTTTCGCTCAACGACCATATATACAAAGCCACGTTCGCACCACAAAAGTGCACACCAAGAAACCAATTTCGTTTATAGACGATCGCTGAAAACTTAAAACTGTGCAATTCTTATTATTTAAAGGTGTAATATTTTCCCCTCTCCAATGTTAAAATAATAAAATTATTTTATTGGAATATAAAAAAATTGGTTTTTTTTCTTTATAATCGAAAATTTAAGAACAATTCTATTCCTTTAAAAAAAATAAAATAAAATAAATAAAAATATTTTTAAAAAAACTAGTGATAAAAATAATATTTATACATTATAAAAAAAGAAAATAAATATTTATATTTTGTGAGAAAAAATAAGAAAAAGAAACGAAAAATCATATAAGAGCTAACAAATCTTTTTCCTACCTTTCAAAAGTGGAACTATCATAAACAGAACATTCGAACAATAACTCTTATTCAGAAGAGGTTTACTGCGATTGACTTTTCAAGCAATTGTGAAAGAATAAAGCTTGGAATGCGAGATAAAAACTCATGGACCTAAAAAAAAAGTCAAGAGAATATTTGGGAGAGATGAAAAAAGAAAACAAGAGAGAATTGAAAACCCGTTTCTCTACACTAGAAGTGATTTTACTCCACAATTTTCACCATGGTTGTGTCTTCTATTTTTAGTCTTTTGTTTCAAACGTTTTTGTTTTTGTCATATATATATACACGCAATGTTTAACCGTCCAAGACACCCACAAAATTGTGGATTACTCATTGGAAAAAAAAGAGAGAGAGAGAGGAGCAGAATTTCTATTCATTTTTTTTTTTTATTATTATTTCACCATGACCTCACATCCCTATCTATTTTTCCTCTTATTTCACTTCTTTCATGACACTAGTTTTTTTAACATTCTAAAAAAAAGTTCACTCACTTTTTATATCTTAAAGAGACAACGTAAATCTCACAAAATTGTTCGTCAAGATCGTTTTCTAGAATAAATGAACTTTTGTCCAGAAAAAATATATTTTTCTTTAGTTACGAAACGGGGGGTTTTTTTTTTACAAATAATCATAAAAAGAGAAACAGTTAATACCTCCATTGAAACTATATTGAAACTATTTTGAAACTATTTTGAAACTATTTTAAAACTATTTTGAACCTATATTGAACCCACTTTGACCTACTCATAAAAAGAGAAACAGTTAATACCTCCATTGAAACTATATTGAAACTATATTGAAACTATTTTGAAACTATTTTGAAACTATTTTGAACCTATATTGAACCCACTTTGACCTACTCATAAAAAGAGAAACAGTTAATACCTCCATTGAAACTATATTGAAACTATTTTGAAACTATTTTGAAACTATTTTGAAACTATTTTGAAACTATTTTGAAACTATTTTGAAACTATTTTGAAACTATTTTGAACCTATATTGAACCCACTTTGACCTACATTGAATCTACTTTGAACCAACTTTAAATTTAAATAAAACCTACTTTGAACCTTTATTAAACCTACTTTGGACTTTGTTTAACCTAAAAACGCTGTACCTTTACCTAATAAAATATAAACAATTATTTTACAAATTCACATCTTTTTCATTGCAATCATAAATTTTATCATCATTTTAAATT